ACCTCACCATGGCCAGCTGCATCTGTGGGGCTCCCTGAGAAAGTGGGGTACTGAGAAGGCTGTCCCCAGTGTGCCTGGGGGGTGAGGTGGTACCGGATCGGGGTCAGGGACATAGGCAATGCCAGGACATGCCTCAGCACATGGTTGAAGAAATCTCATGACCAAAACCACAGATCTTTGCAACAGCCATTCCCTCCAAGGGTATGAAACCCCCCTCCTGGGCTGGTAGGCATGTCCTCCAGAGGTGACACTCACAGGAACCATTCTGAGAGTTTGCCAAAAGCTACTCAGGCTTACTCATACCCCCAGGCCTCTCCACTGTATGTGGCTGAGAAAGCTGAGAGTTGGAGAACGAACCTGACATGATCATAGGTCTGAGAGAGTGAGGAAACTGACACCACCACCAAAAACAATAAGATGAACAACTAGGACAAAAGACAGCTGAAATATCCCTGTGAGAGATGAAGTGAAGGGCACAGGCAGTGTGGTCCCGCACAGCCTGCCAAAATGCTTCACCCACCCAGCCAAGGTGGGAGAGTGTCCCAGGGCTGTCCCTGGGATCTCTGCTGTGCGGTGCCAGGGGCTCAGGGAAGGCAGGAGCTGGGGTGGGAAGACATGCAGAACAGGACAAGGCCGAGACTCAGGTCTCTATGCTCTCATTTCTCTTGTTCAAAGACCCAGCAGATTGCCTAGTAACACCCAGACTTCACCCACCCTTAGCACATCCACCACAAACCTGCAGTCCTTGTCATGAAGGGGGTGACATCTGCTCTGATGATGAGTCTCCAGCAGCACCTGAAGAGTCCCTGTTTGCTGAAGGGTCCCAGGGTTTATAGCAGAAAGGAGACTAAAGGATCCTCCTGCAGCACGTCCCTCCTGAGGCTTTGCAGAGACTAAGAACAACATAATTGCCTCCCTGGAGGGGCGGAAGCTCTGAGGTGGTGGAGTCTCTGTCAACAGCTCCAGGCAGTGCTGAACCCCAGAAACATGATGTAAACTGAGGCAAGGCAACTGAACCAGGGACATCTCTGCATCTTGTGAGCAGGACAAGAGATTCCCCAGAAATGGGATTCACCTCACTTCCCTTCAGATGAAAGCACCTGTGTCAGCTCCCATAGAATGAGGAAGCCTCAGACCTTCTGGGGTGGAGGGGCCTGGCTTCTTTGGAGCTGAAGTCAGCAAAGCAGCCAGTATGTCCTTCCAGAGAGGATTCCTCTCTCCTCAGGGAAGGTGAACAGGGGCCTCATTTTCTCCTTAACTAGCCAAGGGAACCAGTGGACATGACTCCTTCCAGTCCTAATGGACTTCACTGTGGGAGAACCATCTCCTCTGCCTCTGCCCAGGCTGGAAAGGCAGGAGGAGGAGGCCCAGTGGGCACAGACATTTGTGCTGTTGCTCTTGTGAACAAGAGATGTGAATCACAGTTTATCTTGGGAGCCTCACACTGAAATGTAAAGTGCTGGGGGTCCAAGCCCAAGCTGGACAGAGGCACTCCTCATCCTGTTGGCGATGGGCAAGGAAGTGGGGGAACTCTTTTTCCAGCACAATTCATGTCCTTTCTTTGAACACTGAATCCTTTTGGTACGTTTCTGCGCTCCATGCAGATGTTGCAGATACCCAAAGACATCAGCACTGGCCCCAGGAACCCATGCCCAGGCTATCCCCCCCCATTTCTGTTTGTTGACTCCCATCTGTATGGCGTTTCCCTTCCAGCTGGACCCCACCCTTCCCATCCAATCCTCACTGCTTTGGCAATTGGGCTGTACAGGTTGCACTCAGGCCATTGTGCCTGGTGACAATGGAGACAAGGTCCTGTCCTGCTCATGCCTCCCCCTTGGCTCTCTCATCTGGAGGAAAGCCCACCTGATGAGCTACAGGTCTGAGAAACTGGCATCTGCTCCCACCAAGCAAACCAGGTTCTTTGCCAGGAACACTGTAAGGAACCGAAGGAGTTAATGCCCCAATCATTCATCGACACAGAAAACTTTGACAAGCTGTGGCCTTTGTGGTTAGTCTAAGGAATGCTGCCCAAGGAAGCGGGGAGAATACTAAAGGGTGCACAGCTCCACTCCCTCGCGGTTGTATTGCCAACTTCCTTAGATAAGCCTCAAAGGAGGGAAACGTGGACTGAGTGAAACCATATGCTCAATTTAAAAGATTGATAAGAGAGAGAAATGACCAGCATCAGATGGACCTAAGCAAAAACTAAGGGGAGGGGTGGAGGGGTGTGGTGTGGTGTGCAAGCATGACTCAATTGGACAAGGGGGTTGGTGCATCCCATCCCCCCTCAACTCATGTGCAGAACCCATGACCCACCTTTTCCTTGTCTCTCATGGAAATGAGTTTGTGGAATTCCTGCCTCTCTTGGAATAGTATGCTAATCATCTGATAAGAAGAACTTAAAAGGAGAAAGAAAACTTTGCTCAGGGTGCACCCACCAGCCAAGATTACCAGACCCAAGGCAATGCTGGAACCTGGGGTGGTGAACTGGGCTCTTCCTCTCCTTTCCTTTTCTTTTACTTCCTACCTTTTCTTTTTTATATATTTATCAATAAGAAGCCACATTCTTTACTATCCTTTCCCAAGTTTTAGTTGTTTCTACCACAAGCAAAACATTTCAACTGGTTATTTGGTGTCATTTCACCTTCATTTAACCTGAGGGAATCACAGAAACTTTAAGAATCCCTGGACTCCCAGTCTTGGTCATTACAAACACTCTGACCATGTGATGTATGGGAAGGAGGAAAAGTTTTATGTAATCACATCTGTGATTTTGATTTAAGGTACTAATTTTGATTAAGGTACTCATTTAAGGTGTCACTTATAATCTTTGAAGGTATGAATATTCTTTGGTTTGTTATATAAAAAATATAGGATGTTCTTCAAATACTAAAAATATATAGAAATATTTTTATATCCTTGGCCTGTTATAGCAAAGAATATATTTATACGTACATGCATACCTATAAATAAGGAATATACATAGCCTATGTTATATTTTTTTGTTATGTTTCTAGTCTCTGAATACTAACTGCCATTACTGCAGGCATCCCCAACTGTCAGGAGGAAATACATGGACTGACACCAGCTCCGATCTTCACACTCTTTCAACTGCCAACAATAGGATATTTGCCTATTCTGGCACTGTTGAGGGAAGAGGATCAGGCTGAAGACATACTGAAGTTTTCAGGGTTTGATGATGTCCTGGGTTTGAGTGAGGGGTGGGTTTTTTTTTTGTAGCAGGGGAGGGGGCTATTGGGGTGGCCCCCTGTGAGAAGCTTCTCGAAGCTCCCCCAGCTCCAAGTCAGCTCCACTTCTGTTTGGGAAATTGAGCCAATCAGCTGCGCCTCTGCAATAATGTATTTAAGAAGGGACGTGGTGACGGGCAGTGGGACTTGTGAGGAGGAGTTGCTGCAGCTGCATGAACACCAAGGTCAGTGGAGGAATGGAGGAAGAAAGGAGGGGGGAGGTGTGCCGGAGCAGAGACCCCCCTGTATCCTGTGGTGAGACGGCAGGGCAGTCCCCCCTGCCACCCATGGAGATCTACGGTTGAGCAGACACTGATTTATGGCCTGTATTTTTTTGTCTGAATGATCAAGGTGCTGTGCCTGAAGAACGCTGGGGTCTTTTTGGAAAAGGTAGCCCCGCTGTTGTGGTTGTGGGAGATGTTCATGAAGACTGGAAGACAGGAAATGTCACTCCTATCTTCACGGAATGCTTAAAGGAAGACCCAGACTCACCTCCATCCCTGGAAAGTGATGGAGAAAATCCTCCTGGAAAGCATTTGCAGCCATTTGAAGGACAAGAAGGTGATTTGGAGGAGCCCTCCAGGATGAGATGACTAGCTTCCTAGGCTAGGGGAGAGCAGTGTATATTGTTGATCTTGACTTCAGTAAGGTCTTTGACCCGTCTCCCATAACATCCCCACAGACGAGCTGACAAAGTACAGGTTACAGAAGTAGACAGTGCAGGGGGTTGAAAACTGGCTGAACGGCTGAACCCAGTGAACTGTGATGAGGGACTAAAAGTCCAGCCCGGGGGCAGTCACTTGTGATGTACCCAGGGGTCAATATTTGGCATAATAATTTTTAAGTTCTTTATTCATGGACTGTGCTGATTTTGGCTGGGATAGAGTTAATTTTCTTCACAGTAGCTGGTATGGGGCAATGGTTTGGATTTATACTGGATACGCCATTGATAGCACAAGGAAGTTTCCATGACGGCTGAGCTGCGCTGAGACAGAGTCAAGGTCTTTTCTGCTCCTTCATCCCACCCCAGCAGCGAGGAGGCTGGGAGGCACAAGGAACTGAGAGGGGACACATCCGGGACAGCTGAACCCAGCTGACCCCAGGGATATTCCATAGCATATGATGTCATGACCAGCAAGAAAACTGGGAGGGAGCTTTGCCAGTGCTGCTATTTCTCAGGGACTGCCTGGGCATGGGTTGGTTGGTGGTAAGTAACTGGGGGGTTTTTGCATCACTTGTTTTTGTTTCTTTTCTTTTTTTTTTTTTTTTTTTTGTATAATTTTATTTAATTTTTAATTATTAAACTGTCTTTATCTCAACCCACAAGTTTTCCCAATTTTACCCTTCTAGTTCTTTCCCCCATCCCACTGGGTGGGGGAGCCACTGAGCTTAGCCTTGTCTTTTAATCATGGCATTCATCTTTAGTACCTAAGGTGGGGCTCAAAGCATTTGAGATAACGACAGATTAGACCGGAGCATATTAAAGAAATTTAGAATTGTTCATACCTGTTTAATAGTTGCTGGTCATTACCTGTTCTCAATATTTGTTTATCTGATCTGTGCCATGCGCCCTTTTTTGCTGTACATATTAAAGACTGGTTTGGGATTTTGCAGTTTGCTGTGCCCTAGCACTTGGTGGAGTTTTGCCTGGGAGATTTATTAGAAAACCACTGGCCTTGAGCTTACTCTGGTATTTGGGCTCTTCACTGGTGTGACCCCTGTACTTTGGGAACCAACAGAGAAAATTAACAATTACACTTTTTCCTTCTCCTCCAAGAGCCAATCAGTGGCGGATACACAGAATGGCACCTCCACCACCTTATTCTGTGTGGCAGATGTTTTCTCCATGTTATTAGGGGAGGAAGAAGCTTCTCCTAAGAGGGAGCAGGATTGAGAATCAAAAGGCAGCCTGTTCTGCAGCAGCGCAGTCACTGAGAACAAGATGGGGAAGGGATGGAAATCGCAAATGAGTCACAAACCAGCTGATCCCTGTCTCTAAGTGAGTGGTGAGAAATGTGAAACTATTTCAGCCGCCATCTGGGTGAGCTAATTATCAGCTGGCTGCTCTGATACCAGGATATTGGGGCAAATAGTCAGGAATTAGAGGGTAAGGAAGCCCAGCAGCTGGGGTTTCCTCCTGGCGCTGTGTCCAGACACATCCCTGCAGTGTCCCGGAGCCACTCCCCACCCCCCAACTGCTCCAGCCAGGGCTGCAGGGATCGATCCTTCAGCCTCACAGCTCCTCTTCCCTGTGATGCCCCTCAGATGTGCACAGCCACTCTGCTCCGAGCCCCACGGCCATGGGGTGCCATCGGTGATGGCGACCTGACACCCCCCTAGTTCTACTGCCGTGTGCTCATGAGTGCATGGGCGACTGCTGACGATGTGTCTTCCAAAAACCAATATTTGGGTGTGTGGTCTCAATGCTATTTTGATGATAATAGAATCACCCACACCAGCCGTACACCCGCACTTTGACTTAAAGATACTCCAGCACTGGTGAAATCACAAGCTTATTGCACAGCCATGTGCATACTCCTGGCCTATCCTGGTTTGAGCCTGGTCGGCAGCCAACCACCATGCAGCAGCTCTCTCTCCCTTCTCCTCCGGCAATAAAAGGACAGAGAGGCAGGCTTGGGGTTCGAGATAGGACTGGGATGGGGAAAAATCACCCTTTATGGTCAAAAGCAAAAGACAGACTCGTTAGGGGAAGAAAAAAGAACATACATTTATTACAGACACCAACAACACATAACAGAGTAGGACAGTGAGAAGCATTGCCACATCTTGAGAACACCTTCTCCCCCACCCCTCCCTTCTTCCCGGGCTCAGCTCTGCTCCCGATATCTCTACCTCCTCCCCCAGTGGTGCGGGGGCAGGGAATGGGGGGTGCAGTCAGCGCTGCCACTTCCTTCATCTTTGGTGAATGGAGTTTCCGGAACTTGTTCCTCCTGCTCCATCGTGGTCCCCCTCTCACAGGAGACAGTCCTCCACAAACTTTCTCCAACATGAGTTCCTCCCATGGGCCACAGCGTTCCCCACACTGCTCCGTCATGGGTCACTAACTTTCTCCGACTGGATTCCCTCCCACAGCTGCAGCCCTTCCCGAGCTGCTCTGGCGTGGAACACCCCCGCATGCTGCGATCCTCCCAGTGCTGAATTACAGCAGTGGGGCTGCCTTTTCCCACGAGACCCCAGCGTTCTTCGGGCACAGCACCTAGATTGCCCAGGCGGAAGCCACAGACCATAAATCAGTGTCTGCTCCACTGTAGATCTTCATGGGTGGCAGGGGGGGCCGCCCTGCCATCTCACCACAGGATACAGAGGGGTCTCTGCTCCGGCACACCTCCCCCCTCCTTTCTTCCTCCTGTTCCTCCACTGACCTTGGTGTTCATGCAGCTGCAGCAACTCCTCCTCACAAGTCCGACTGCCCGTCACCACGTCCCTTCTTAAATACATTATCGCAGAGCGCAGCCGATTGGCTCAATTTCCCAAACAGAAGTGGAGCTGACGTGGAGCTGGGGGAGCTTTCGAGAAGCTTCTCCCAGGGGGCCGCCCCGATAGCCCCCTCCACTGCCACCAAAAAAAACCCACCACTCACTCAACCCAGGACAGCCACACAGCCGCAGATGATGTCTTAGCATCAAAACCTGCCATGTACCTGCTCCTGGCCTATCAGATACTACGGCATCAGGACTTCACAAACACCCACACAACCCACAGACCTCTTCCTGCTGTAGCACCTAATCGGTCACAAATGACTTTGCAAACACCTACATACGATGGGAGCTTATTCGAGGCCTACCAGCATCTCAGGCAATGCCTTCTTCTCCAGGGCGACATCGCTGATGCCTGCAGAACCCCTTCTGACTGGGCAGATGAGGTGCTCCACGGGCGTGCTTCTCTTAGAGTGTGCATTTGAAGACAGAGCCCAGAAAGCCAAAAATGAATATTGTAGCAGACAGAGAATATGGCAATGAGCCTTTCGAGGGCTGTTACAAGCCAGACCGGAAACGCGTGGAATCATAAATGATCTGTGATCCCCTTGGGTTAAATTAAGGTGAAATGACACCAAATGACCGGTTAAAATGTTTTACTTGTGGTAGAAACAACTTAATCTTGGGAAAGCATAGCAAGAAGTATGGCCTCTTATTGATAAACCTCTAAGAAAGAAAAGGAAGGAAGTAAAAGAAAAGGAAGAGAGAAAAAGAGTCAGAGTATCTGGATCATCAACACGAGTTCCATCATTGTGTCAGGTCTGGTAATCTTTAGTGGGGTTGCACCCCCAGAAAAGTTTTCTGTTGCCTTTTAAGTTCACTTTATCTGCGGATTTGCATACTAGATGAGAAGAGGCGGGTTCTTCTCAAACTTATTTCCATGAGAGATGAGGAAAAGGTGGAGCATGGATTCCACATGTGCGTGGAGAGGGGATGGGTTGCATTAACCATTTTGTCCAGTTGAATTGGTGGTCATGTTCTCCCCCAGCAACATTTACTTTTTCCCCAGTTGTGGGGGGACCTCAGCTGGACTGAGGCCCTGGGAAGGAACAACTTCGACCTTGAAAGGATTCCAAACTACCCCTGAGAGAGCAAGCAAGAACAGGAGGAGCTGCAAGATAAGCAAGCTTATCGACCACAGTAAGAGTGCATAGCAACTCTGAACCAATAAGAAAAGAGACATGTCGGAAGAACTGTTAACCCTGTACTTGGAACTAGTTTTAGGTGGATAGAGATACTAGAAAGCTTGGGAGCCTGAACTTTTGAACTCTTTATCTTACTACGCTTGCGTGTTAAGCTTATGCATATTAACTTCTCCACCCTGGCAAGAGCCAGGGTTCATTGCCATGAACATGTGATGTATGAACACCTACATGAAGGGGCGTGTTGGTAGGCAGTCTGGAAAATCTGTACACCCTTTAGAAAAAGTATAAAGGAACAAAGGAGGAGCGCAATAAGGGCTTTGTGGGGTATTTTGGGCTTTTTGTTTTGGGGCTTTGGTGTTAACTTGCTTTAAAGAAGAATCTGTCTTGTACTTTTGTCCGTCTCAACCATAGTTTTGTCCATCTCGATCGCAACACCCAGTTTTTGCTTCTTGGGCAATTATCCAGCCTTTAGCTCCATCTGGGGCAAGATATTCCACTCTTTTCCATATTTTGGCTCTTCTTCAAGGGTATAGTCATTAGCAAGGCCCACATCATTTATCAAGCTCCTAATTTAAAGTGTAAGCATTAACCTGAACATATGGTTTGACTCAGGTTATATATCCCAGCTTAGATTCTTCTCTAGAGATCTTGGCAATACAACTGCAAGGCAGTGGAGCTGCGTACCCTTTGATATACTCTGTGCTTCCCTGGGCAGATAGTTTGTTCCTT